CTGGTGCGCGGGCGGTGGTCCGACAGCCCAGTGCGGCAGCCGGCGCAGGCACAGCCCGGCACTGGGGCCGGCAGTGCCCGGCAAGCGTCCCTACCTTCGATGATGTGCTTCCGGGACAGGCCCCTCTCCGTCTCAGCCCTGGAAAAGGAAACGTGGGTGAGAGCCTGGCGCGCTCCGGCCACTCTGCCGCGGGGCGAGCGCACTACCTACTTTCCTCCCCAGAAGATTTTAGTGGTGATGACCAGGCTGGACCGTCTGCGGGGAGAAAGAGAGAGTCACCGGTGGCGGCATCCGCAAAGCCCCGTGCGCCCTGCCTGCTGCCTGCCTGGGTGCGCTCACGCCTAGGGCTGCTCCGCCAGCTTTCCCCAGCCCACCGACACCGCGGTGACGGCTTTGCTGCGCAGGAATGAAGTCCGGCTTACCTCCACCCTTTCTTCTTGATGATGTTCCCCAGCACCACCTCGGCCCTACAAGGGAAGGGGGTGTTAGATGCTGGCACCCCGGCTGCTGTGGCCACGGGGAGCGGTGGCAGCTGGCAGGGATGGCCCCGGTCCCCAGTAAAGAGGCAAACGCGGTGGCTGCAGGGACACTGTTTCCCTCTCCGGCTGCAGCGCGCAGAGCCGAGTTGCTCCCCAATGTGTGAGCTCGCTATTTTTAAGTGGGCGCGTGGGCACGCTGCGATGCCTCTGGGCCACCGTGCCCCGGGCGCAGCCGCTGCTCACGATGCCAGGGAGGGTGCACGGCTACGCCCACGCGGCCCAGGCAGCCACAGGCAGCGCGGGACCACACGAGCCAGCACCCTGCTGCGAGCAAGCGCTCGCAGCTCCATCCTGGCAGGCACTTGGCAGCCGGCAAACCCAGGAGACTCCCAGCACCGCTGCAGTTTGGGGGTGCCGGAGGCTGGGGCGCAGGGTGAGGCCCTTTGTGCCGCTGCCGAAGCGGGGTACCTACTTGCCAGCAGCGTAGACTTCTGCTGTGTCGAAGAGATTAATGCCGTTGTCGTAGGCTAAAGTCATCAGCTGCTCCGCCATCTGCGAGGGGAGAGTGGGGAGGGTTGGCAAAGGGGGTGGCCGAGAGCCGGAGCGCAGAGGCGCGTGCTGACGAGCGCTGGCACACCACGTGCACCGAGACCAGGACCCGTGGCTGCGCCGGCCCCCTCCGTTCCCTGCTTTGCTTGGGAAAGGCTGGGGAGGGACGGGGCACGATCCTTACCTCGTCTGTGATTTGCCCTCCGAAAGTCACCCATGTCCCTGCGGAGGAGAGAGGTTGCGCGCACGGTGAATGCGGTGAGCAGCGAGCGTGGTGAGTGCAGTGAGCGCGGTGAGCACTGAACGCTGCCGCCCCGAGCCCCGGCCACCCAGCCCGGCTCCCTTGGCACAGCCCCGGCACATGGCGGGCACAGCTGGCCCTGCCGCGTGCAGCACGGCGCTCCCAGCACAGCCCGGTCACTTCCTATCACGTCAGAGGAGAGAAAAAGAAAATAATTTGACAACTTCTGGGCTGCGTCTCAAAACCGCTGCCGGGCTGGAGGAAACCCCTCTCCTTCCCCTCGCAAAGCATCACCAGAGCGGGCGAGCCTTGCCCTCGCCGGGGAGCGCTGGCAGCAGCTGCAGGATGGAGGAGCCACCGAGGGGCCACGGCAAACCCCGGCACTTACCCAGGCCCAGGCAGGACACGCGCAGCCCAGACTTCCCGAGGTTCCTGGAAGACAGAGACCCATTAGGAAAGCTGCCGGGGAGCCCCAAAGCGCCATCTCATGCATCTGCCTGCCAGTGAGTCGTGCTCCCCAGTGCCGGTGTCCATCCTCAGCCCTGGTCCCCATCCCCATCCTCATCCCTGCCTGGGACGGTCCCGCAGTGAGGCTCGCTGGTGGCATGGCCAGCGCTGGCACAGTGACGCTGTTTCCCGCAGGCAAAATAATTGCCGTGCCCGACAGGGTAATCAAGAGTGGCAGCGGGCAGCGACCTGGTTAAAGCAGCTCCCGTGACGAGGCCGGGGTGTTCGGCTCCCCTGACAGTGCCACCGGTGCGCCAGGACAGGGCAGGAGCAGGGGGAGACGGCACACGGGCAGTAAGGCCTGGAGCATCCCACACGTGGCGTGAGCTGTGCCCGTTCTCTGTGGCGTGGCACAGGGGAGCACAGGTCTCGCACGGGGACAGGGTGCTCGGGAGTGGAGTGGCGTCCCGGAGTAATGGAGCACCCCTGAAAATTTGGCTGGCACAAGGAGCCGGAGAGCAGCTTTGGGGAAGGGGGCCTGGCTGGCAGACACCTTTGCTGCGGTGATGGGGAGCCAGTTTCTCGTTAAAAATGACAAAAGCTCGAGCAACGAGCGTTAAAATAAATAAAGTGTAGGTGAGCCAGCAGCTCGCCCGCGCGGGTGTCGCGTAGCAACCGGGAGGCACCGCCACCGCCAGCATCGCTGGCATGGGCACGGGCAGCCGGGCAGGGAGCAGCCGAGGTCCGACAGCAGCGGTGAATCGCGGGCTGAGGCGAGTCAGGGCATCTTCCTTCCGTGCCGCCGCATTATTGCCCAACATTTGGAGGCGCGGGCGCTCCCCCCTCAACCCCATGTTATTTTTAGAGCGTTTCACGGCGGGGAGAGGCCGTGGCTGTGGGGCGGCGGCAGTCCAAGGCCCCGCGATGGGGGGTCGCGGCAGGGAGGGGATGGCACCAGCCCCGTCCTGGCCATTCCAGGCCGCAGGGGCATCGCCGGGGTCCTCCTGGGCGGGCGGGCACTGGCAGCGCATCGCCGCTCCCAGCTTTCCTGCCCAAAAGCGTCTTGCCCGGTCGCCAACAGAGATGCTGGCAGATACTGGGGGAGGCCAAGCCCCTGCTGCCTCTGCGGGAAGGAGCATCCCGCTGCGCTGTGCCATGGCCCTCCCGTCCCGTCTGTTTGCACGGAGCATCCCCCTGCGCCACTGTCCCCCTGCAGCTGCCGGCGGGGACCCCCGAGCTGGTCACCCTGCGCCCGGGAGAGGGTGGCCCCCGGCGCACTCCTCCTCCAGATGGGGACGTGACCGCGGGGCGCAAGCACCAAGCCCGAGAGCCGGAGGGGGCTGCCCTGGCCCCCTCTCCAGCATCCGGGCAAGGGGACTCGGCTGGTTTGGACAATCAGGGTGGGTGACAGCTGGTTCATCCCCGCGCTCTGCCGGCCTGGTGCCTTTTGCAGCCCGGTGCCGGTCTCATCCGGGCTGCAGCGAGGGCACACAGCGGCTGTCAGCTGGACCGTGGCGTGTGTGCTCATGGGGGGGGGAAGCCCCCCCGCCCCACGCCTGGGGGCACGCTCATCCCGGCGCGCGTTAACGCAGCGGGTGCTGGCTGGGGCGGCACAAGGTGCACACGCCGCCCTTCGTTTCCAAACCCACCACAGGCAGCCAAGGGCCGAATCCTGGCTTGCAGCTCCGCACACGCTTCACGGGGCGGCAAGTCTTCGGCAGCGCCGTAAGGATGCCATGGCAGCCTGCGGATTAACGTGTGCCGCGACTCTCGGACCCCCCTGGCTCAGCAGCCTGCCCGGCTCCGCAGGCGCCGGGGATCCTACTAATCCTGCCCCAAATTTTAGGGTCCCTTCCCCGCCCCTATCCCGCTGGTTTTACGCGAGGCTGGATCAAATCCGCGCCACGAGGGGACAGGAGCAAATGGTGAGGAAAGCGACAGAGGCGCACAGTCAGCACTTTAGCACTGAGAAACCTATGGAACAGGACGCGAGCCAGGGATTAGGGGAGCGCAGCACACCCGGCCCCCCCGGCCCCCCCCGCTGCCCCCTAAATCTCGACGAGGAACAAAGCAGCCGAGCAGGCGGCAAATCTGCCTGTCCGAGCAGCGCGCCCATCTCCTACCGGTATTTCATTCCCGGCTGCTTGACGCTGGACTCGCTGGAGGAGGGGGCATTCTGCACCGAGAGCTGCCCCAGGCTGCGGGCCACCATGGCCACCGCCCGGAACTTGCCGCGGGTGCCGAGGCTGGGGCTGCCGGCATTCTGCCGATTCAGCCGGTCCTCCGCGCTCCGGCTCTTGATGCTGTGCTCGGAGCACACAAAGGAGACCTGCATGCTGCTCCGGCGGGCAGCCGTGCCAGCTGCCTAAATTTAGCCGGCGCCCCGGGTGAGGCGGGGAGCTCCTCCCGCGCGCCCACACGCCGCCGCTCCGCCAACGTGACGGCGGGGGGCTGCGAGGCGGCGGGCACGGGGCCGGCTCCCATCAGCCCTCCTGCCCTCAATATTTGATGAGCTCAGGAAGCGAGCAAGCGGCGCCCGGGCAGGTGGGGGCAGGAAGGGGAGCGCCACAGCGGGTGCCCCCCGAAGGGACCCCCGCACCCCGCCAGGTATCCCTGCGGGCCGCGCTTCCAGCCCGGCCCCGGTTTGGGGCGCAGCGGGGGGGCTGAGGCCCCGGGGGTGAAGGGGCCTCTTGCCTCCCTTCGGCTGCGCCGCGGTGGCGCAGCGTCCCTCCTCTTGGGCGGATGCAAGTCCAAAACAAAAATCTCCGGGCAGGAGCGCATGCACGTCGCCAAACACACGATTCTGGGGCGAGAGCGCGGGCAGTGGCAAAGCCACCGGCCCTCCTGGGGCAGAGCCCGGCAGTTAGCCGAAGCTGGACCAGTTGCCCCCCCTTCAGGGCCATGGCCCCAGCAGCACATCCCCCAAATTTTGTCCTGTGCAAGCTAAGCGGATTGAGGCAAAACCCAGCCCAGCATCTCCTGACGAAGGAGGGCCGAAAGGCGGCCGTGCTACAGCACCGTGTTGTGGCCGGGCACGTGCCAGTTGCCCGTGCCAGCAGTGCCCCCCGGTAAGGAGCAAGGAGCGGGTTCGGGGCTTGGCTTGCGGGGGAAATTACGCACATTCGGCGCCGACCTAATGAGAAATCTTGTAATCTCGTCCGCCTCCCTCTGCCGCAAAGCTCCTTAGCTGGGTAATCCCCCCGGCGCCGGCTCCAGCTTCGGGGCGAAGGGGACCTGGCAGCAATTGGCAGCTCCCCAGAGGAGAAACCCCAGAGATTTTGGGGGCAGCGGGCACACGCCCGAGGAAGCATCAGTGGGGGTGCCTGTGCCAGCCTCTCCCCATCAATAAATAACCGCCCCATGAATATTAGATGGGCTCTTGCCACCGTGTAAATGTTACCTCTGTTATGTGAGCGGAGGGGAACCTGACCCGCGGTGCGACACAGCACGGCATGGCGCGGCAGGAGCCGGCAGGGCCGCCGGCCCCCGGGGGCTTCGCTGCAGTGGGGGCGCGAGGGGCAAGCCTGGATTTTCACAGCAGGGAAGAGCTGCTGTCCCCAGCCCCGGTGCCCCCGGCCCAAGCCCCGGCTGTGTTACTGGGCGTGCCCGGCCCATCGCCCCACCCGCGCTGCTGGGGGAGAGCGGGAAGGGATGCGCTGGGAAAACCAGCCACGCGCCCTCAGAGGAGCCGCGGCCGACGGCTCCGGCTGCCTGGCGCGTCCTCTCTGGCACAGGCGGGCAACGAGAAGGACAAAAGTCGGCTGAAATCCTGAGACGCCTCGTGCCGTGCCCGGGACCCGCATGCAAAATTAATGGATGCTCTGCAATGAATGCCTGTCAGCCGGATGAAGCACCTCTGTAGCTGTTTGCTCCAACCACCTGATCTTTAAAAGCACCGAGTGTGTTTGCACTTGCAAATTCCCAACAGCAAAAGGGAAAAATCAACCGAGAAGATCAAAGACCATCAAGCAAGCAAGAGGCAACGGCGCTGACCTGCTGCAGCCTCTCCCGCACACGCCGCGCGAGATCGCCTTTCGTGCCAAGGGCTCCGGCTCCTCCCAACCTCGGCGCGGCGCAGGCAAACTGGTGAAATCCTGCAGGCCAGGCTTTTCCCCGATGAGGTGTAAAACCAGCGCTAAGCAGCATCCCCTGCTCCATCCCCACATCCCGGGCCAGGCGCACTTGGCCGTCACCGCATTCGCTGCCCCGGCAGGCGCCAGCGCTGCCTTACCTGTACTTCATGCCAGTGGTGCGGGCGGTGCTGTCGGCCAGGGAGAGCCCGTGCATCCGCAGGAACTCCTCCAGCGTCTTCGCCCGCGCTGCCGCCCGCACGTCCCGCAGCCGCCGCAGCTCCAGCCCGTCTGCCGGCCGGGGGGGGGGGGGGGGGCCCCCCCCCGCCGG